TTATGTAAATACTGACACGAGAATAGTGAAAGTACTAGAACTAGTTCACAAAGTCGTCGAGTTATTCGTTCGATCAAACAAATATTTATGTTTCATCACGATGATACTTAACATTTACTACTACAATGGATAAAACTAATGTCGATATACGGTTCTTATTTAATTTTATCTCCGACAGGTGATATATATATATATATTCTTGTTTTTCTATTAGTAGAAAACATTTCATTAACCCATAATTTTTTTCTTTTCTTATCTAAAAATTGAAATTAATGAGAAGTTTCTTGGCACGCATTTTTCTCTTCGATCATTTGTTAATCTATAGGTTTTATATGCTAACCATCAAGTATTTTTTATTTGACATATATATATATATCGATCTATCATAAATAGTACATAATCCATCTTGTTTGAATCGAGATTATAAATCGATGAATGGATTTAGCATAAATAATATTTCATGATAAAGAGTTTTTAAAACGTCACTTTCTCTATTTTTGTAGACAAAATATTGACCGTAACGATATGGAAGATCGATGAAAGTTTAACTTCATCATGCAAATACTTCTTCTGATTGCTAATTTTTGCAGTTCAAAAGATTACATAATCTAGATAAATTATGCGAATAGTTAAGCTTAATAATATTTCGGCAGTATTTTTTAATGAAACGTGCACTGAGCCATTATCATGAGTCATAGTTCTATAAAAAAAAAGAGTTTTGCCGAAATAAATTTACGAGTTGTAATACAATAATAAATCAAATGAGAGAAAAAGGCATGTCATAATCCATCATCAATAGTGAAGAAAAGTAAAGTCAGTTTATTTCCTTTATAAAAATTAAGATTTTCTCTTACCTGAAAGCCCACAATTAATCACATGAAGAATATCCAAATGCATGATTACTAAGTCAGAGACGAAAAAAAAAGAATGTACAATTAATGTAGATACGTCATAGCGTTCGGGAAAACTTTATATCGATTATATAGCATGGGTCATTAGGTCGTATCTTAATGATCGAGTAATTTGTCTTTATCATTGACAGAGATAAAAGTGAACTATCTAGAATTACTAAGTTGTAAGAAAATAGTACTTACAAATAGTATAAGAAATTTCTTTTGTGAAAATTATAGGCGTGTAATTTCTATATGACTTGGCACATTTAACGTTATAGTTGTGGTATGAATATTTTTTTCCTTTTCATTATAGGGGAGCCGATTACTTGTTCACGGGGCAGTTGCTCGCTTGAACATTTGCTCGTGAGGGTGAGTCGTGGGTGTGGGTGCGTACATCGGTGTGCGAGTGCGGGTGCGGGTGCGGGTGCGGGTGCGGGTGCGGGTGCGGGTATCGGTATGGGGTTTATAGCGAGACATGATCAATACAACCACATCCACATCTCACACTCCACACACCCTCCAGATATCGTTAATGCTGTGTCTGGTAGTCAGCCACCAAAACGAAGAAACGAATCATTGAACAGACGATTATATAATTTAGTTCAAAATCCACACACAGACATGAAGGGTCAATTGAAATATATCGGACGTTTGTTATCAATATAGTCTATTTTCTCTTGTATATTGTTAATCATTATTCTTATTGTTATTAATAAATATTTTCATGTCTTACTTGCATGTTTACTTCTAAATATTTTTGTAAGCAACTGTCCTAGCGAGCAACTGTCCTAGCGAGCAAGTGTCCGCGAGCAACTGTCTTGCGAGCAACTGTCCTGCGAGCAACTAACCTAGAACCTATTATAGAACTATTTCATTAACAAAAATAAGATTGAATATATAGGCGATTTCTAGATGAATCTGATCAATATTCTGATCGAATATTACTTAAAATTTGCACTAGGCTTGACTTAATAAATAGTGCAATGACCAATTCTATTGGTACTGTAAATATATAGGACAACATACCATAACAATATCATAAATTATGCTATTTTTCGTCTTATGCGTGGGTATGTTATATGTTACCCGTCATTCTTCTATTGCTGATGAAGCTTTATTCTTTCTCAGCAACAAGAAGCATCTCTAGAATACTCAAAACAAACAACAACAAGAAGAGTTTGTATTATCATTTTGCATCGAAGAATTCTATTTAAGATATAATACAATAGAAAATAAGATAATTTTTTCTTCATGCTAGAGTCTTGCATATATAACATGAATGATATTAAGAAGTTATTTTCTTACTAGTCAATAAAATTTCTGGTATGTAGGTATTCATATTTTGTAAAAACTAGTACTGTCAAGTGACAATTCGAGTTATTCTATTTAGTAAAATGTCGTTAAATATATTGGTTTTCCTTGTAATTTGATCTGTTTATAAACATATCTTATTACGATCATCACCTCGGTAGACGCCAGTTAATAAAGAACAATAGATACGCAATTAAACAAAATAGGAAAGAAAGAAAAACAAGCCTGAGATAATTCATATGGTTAAGTTCTAAATACCAATAGAAAGTGATCAGAATAATGATGAAAGATAAGTCGTAGATAGAATACCTATTTTTCGAAGAAACACTATAGGCAATATGATTATAATAAAATGAAAAAAGAAAAAGAAATCTTACGATGCAACACATAGCTAATGATCAATAATACTAATGACATTCTCATGCTGTTTCTGCTTGTCAGTACAATTTTAACACTTAACTTCCGATAATTTTATTTTTAAAATAAATATGAGTAAACATGCAATAGGATATCGAGTAAATGGCATAATATTAAAATGAGATTAATTATAGCTATTATGAAGCACAACAACAACAACAACAACAACAACAGCAGCAGCAGCAATAAATAAATAATGACAAAAATAATATTCATATATACTATGGAGAGGGATATTATCATACGACGATTCATTTTAAACTCAGAAAAACATGTTTTTTCCTATCCGATGAAATCTTTTATTTTCAATCATTTTTTTAAAATTGAAGTATTTAAAGTATTATTTGAAGATGATACTGGCAAATAAAAAATTAAAACCGAAATATTTCGGTAATCATGAATATGAATTATTTGTTAAATCTTTATTGCAATAAAATTCAAGAGTTACTTGATAATGTAAATATGAATGTTTAATAAAAGAGTTGTATAAAAGTTAGCAATATTAAATGATTGTTTTTTTTTCTTCATGTGATCCTTTAGATGATAAGATCTCTAATGAATAATCATGAATGAACTCCTCGAAACCAGAACAATATCTATCACCGAATAGTTTAATATTCGAAATCCCGTGCTTTTCAATATCCGGTATGTGCTGAGTGAGAAGCAAAATCTTGAATGGAATGCAAACACATTCTATTCAACTTTGTAATTTCCGATTCCTCTCTCTCTCTCTCTCTCTCTCTCTCTTTCTCTCTCTCTCTTTACGGTGGAGTTTTGGACTTCCATTAACTGAGTAGCTTCTTTTTCATTAACAAAAAAATAGAGATGAAAAATAGGCTAAGTATAATATTCCTAAGAAAATAAACAAGTATATTAGCTGTGTATACACATTAATGCCAACGTCATTATGTTGGCGATATTTGTCTCTTTCTATCGAAAGCATGGCGTTTATTCAGACCATGCTATTCAATCATAATAATAGCAAGATATGGACTGATCAACCGGCTTTATACAATTATTACGAACGATAGATATTTTTATATAAAATTCTTGTTTTTCTTGAAAATCCTAATACTGCGTTCTTATTTTAATTCAACCAGAATTCAGTAGATTATTATTCAATTTCTTTTCAATCATTTTGCTGACATTAGATGGCAACTCTTCTTTTTCTTCTTTAACGCTCGTTTTTGTATCGTGTTCTCTCTACTATTCTGCAGTTTGTCAGCACGATCGTTAAAATAACTTTTTTTTTTAGACAGAAATTGCATTAACACTAATATGAACCAGCGAACACTTTCATTGAAATGGATTTCGATGGATTTCATATGTGTGTTAGTTTTCTAGTTACCAATATGATATGAGAAGTATTGTTTTAATTTATATTTGTTTTTTTAGTACTATTTTAATACGATAGCTATTCATACGCTGGACAAATAATCAGAAAGATCTGTTTTTTTGTTGTTGTTTTTTTCCGTCAACAAAGGAAAATACAAATCATTTTTTATCACGTACTTGAAAAAAATTATAAATTATCTTGACGAGAATAGAAAAATAATCGCATAAAGGAGACGTCTAAATATCCCGCAATGAAGCGTCCGCATATTGTTATATAGGATTTTACTATTAATATATTTTCCTAAGCTCCTTATGAGTCTACAGCTCACACGAACTGTTATTTTTAGCTTAAATGAAATGTATTAGTAGAAAATGATACACTAAAGATAGGATTCTTAATACATCTGATCAAACCTATTCATATGATACTTCTTCCTGTTACTTTTATCTGTAACTTGATTTTTTTTCCGTCTACTATTGTATATATATATATATAATGATCCTGGGAAATTACATTTTCTTTAGATAGAAATCAAAGTATGAAGTTAGACTAATAGAAAATAAGAATGCAATTTTCTTTTTCCATTCATAAATAATGATACCATCTATTCTTAATAGTACTAGTTTGGTTTTTGATACCCTAGGATCCGCTGACGGGTCTGCCGATTTTTTTTCACTTGATATTTCCCTATTACGAACTATTCTATGTGATATTTAATCATACAGAATAAATTTGACCTACGTTCGTCATAAGCAAATTAGGTATGACATATAAAAACATAGAAATACCTTTGAGTTTCTAGTAAATTATTTTGCTACATATCTAAAACGTGCAATCTGAATTCGCATCGTTTGAGTACGTACATTTATTAAAAATATTATCTAGAATAAAAACAAAAACAAGGTAATTGGCTATGACAATTTATTTTTAGTTTCTAACTAAAATAATCTACGTGGACTTTCTACATTTCAGATTAGATCAAGATTACTCTTTATGATACGTGAATCTGATTTAAATATTTAAAAGCGAGTATTCTTTTCCAAATGAATAATTATACAATTATTCCTTCTAATCAAAGTGACAATAATTGGGATGATAATGATAATGATAATGGCCCATCGTTGCATATACGTATTGCGTTTGCTTGTGCATGGATTTTTATTGCAGTTTCTGGTATTATAGGTAACATAGATTTTTTTTTCTTGAAAAATTTTTTGAAAACAAAGATTAATTTCAAATTAGGTAATAGTCTAGTTATATCTGTTGCTGTTCGATTTCAAAAGTTAAATAATGTAACAAATTGTTTCATTGTTAATTGTAAGTTGTTTTAATTAGAGAATCATTTTCAAGAAAAAAAATCTTATACATTTTTTTCAATCTTAGTGGCTATTACTGACATTGTCTTTTTGGCATTTTGTATGCCACTTTTAGTCGTTCAGTATACATTAGACATTTGGTAAAACAAATTTTCTATTAATACTTAATTAACGTTATGAATTTTTCTTTGTGCCATTTAGGTTGTTTAATGAAGTTTTTTGTAAACTGTTGAATTTTATTTCATTCATAAGCGTTCTTGTCACGGTTCTAACATTAGTTGCAATGACTATTGATCGATATATTTATGTGGTACGACCATTTGAAAATTTAAAATGGCGAAAACCTCGAACAGTACTTTTATTAAGCATTATCATTTGGTTCAGTAAGTAAAAGCTTTTCTAATACTTTCTTTTTTTTCTCTAAATCATTTTTTTTATTAATATTAGTTTCATGTATGTTTGCTTTACCATTCTATTATCATTATGGTTTATCAAACCATGATAATAATTATCAATGTGTATTACTTAGTGATGAAGAACTACAAAAATATTTGGGTATTTATACTATTACTCTTTATTACTTTATTCCGCTAATAATCATTATTATTTCATATGCTAAATTACTTTACTATGTTTATTCAAAAGAAAATAAACTTCAAACACATACAGTAACTAAGCAATTTTATTTTTAATGATATTTATATGTTGATTACTTGATTTTCGTTTAATTTTCAGAAATTAACTACAAGTAAAAAGTCGAAAAAACGTCGTACAGTAACAAAGATGGTTGCAGTTGTGACTCTTATTTTTTCACTTTGCTGGTTACCAATAACATTATACATCATTTTAGCATATATATTCCCACGAAAATCAATATTTCTTTACTATTATAAAATTATTGCTAATTCACTTGCTTATTTAAATTCTGCCGTTAATCCAATTCTTTATGCCTTTTTAAATCGTAGTTTTCGTAATAATTGTGGAAGTCTGTTTTTTCAACGATCATGCTCAGAAACTATTCGGGATGAACATCATCAATCACGTACAAAATGTCAACAACCACTACGTAGACATCAAGCATCAACACAAATTGATCGATTTAGCTATCAATCAACCAATAATCAATCCTCATCTTCAACAAGAGATAAAAATATGAAACAAATATCAAGACTAACTAACAATAAGAATTTATCATCGCCTATTATAGTATATAATGATTATTTAGATGGCAAGCATGAAAAAATTGATGATGAATCTCTCATTAAAGTTTCTTCTCAACAATATACACCTCAAAATTATCATTGTAAAGGAAAATATGAAGAAATATCGACTGATGAAACGAATGTGTCAACTACATTGACAACAAATCTTTAATGTTTAATGTTTTGTAAGAAAAATAAAAAAAATAAACATTTTTTATGTGTCTGTTTTTGCGTGAAATTTCAATAAACCCGTTTTGATGTATCTGACTATTATTATTATTGCTTATTAAATGTGAAAAATATTGTTTCAAATCAAATCTAGAGCGGATTGTGTGCGTGTTAATTAGATTTAATGATGGATGAATTCAGAAAAATATTTGAAAGATTTCTCGATTCTTCCGAATGCTAAAATTTCTATACATTTATTTTTGAAGTTAATTACGTGCTAACATCATGATATGATCGCACTAATTGTATCTTGTTTCGTTACTCATAGAAGCAGATGCTAATCGTAACATAACAACGAAGTCTAATGGACATGAAATTATAAAAAAATTTCTATATAATTATTCCTGTTAAAAATTTTACTACACAGAAGAACGATCTAGTAAGTCATTTCGAGCTTTCTATTAATGTACAAGGAAGATTTCTATTCTGTTTCCGATGACGCTACATCCTTAAATTTCAAAAGGCGCAAGGAATTCAGGATTAATATGCCAGATAATTATTCATCAGATTTATGCTGTTAAAATCTGAACTCTAGGTTCTATAGGAAAGAAATCGTATTAGTATTGAGTAGAAAAGCATATCGATATGTTTTAATTCATTAAATACGTTTTATTTTAATGCAAATTAACATTGAGACTATTCCTTCTCACCAAAAATGACGTACTAATAGCGTAAGATCAATTCGCGTGGTATTTACATATGGCTTTGTTTTCGTATATTCTGTTTCGACCTATCCAATTTATTTTCAATAATTACGAGAAAGAATGGTAGCAACCAGGAAAAATTGTGTAAAAAGATTCTTTTGTCATATTTCAAAAATGGAAACATTATTAAACATAAAAACAATAATCACAGCTTGAAGTAGAAATAAGCATTATTACTTTGATGCTCTAAGCCAATGTTTTGCAGATACGAAATAAATTCTAGAGTCAGAACTTCTGTTATGAAAACTCATGTCTGTACGTTACCTACGTGTTCATGTATAATTTAATAAAAATAAGAAAGCAACCAAAAGAATCATTGAATTATGTGTTTTTTTTAATAAAATAAACTAATAAATATTAATATTAGCTGTTCTTCTCATCAAAGAATTGCTCAAAATAATGATTCGTCTCTATCGTTGTTTCGATCTCGATCTTTGATCGTATTTAGAGTTAATACCTTAGTACAACTTCACTTGAACGAAATTGTTTAAATGCTTTTAAAACGTTACTGTCAATACTTTTATTTAGCTAACAACATATTTGTGTTTGACAAAGATCAGTTTTGGTGATTCTAGAAAATTTTACTTTTAGATGAAAGCTCTCTTGAATCTTTGTTTCAAATTTTGCTTTTAAAAATAGATTAAGGTTAGGCCCCGTTTCGTCGAAAAAAAATTCCCCACACCCACACCCGTCAATGTCGAGAAACGGTTGAAAGAAACAGTGAAAACTTTAAAAAAGTCGAGTCTCTTAAATCAAACTCGACTCGGCTCGGTTTCACTCTATGATTCCAATGGAGAAAAAGGAGATTTGCATTTCAGAAGTTAACTTGGACAACCAAGAACATTTCGTTAATTACTTTTTTTTCTAAACTTCAAGAAAAAATATTGCTGCAAGAGTTCATGGAACACTAGTATACATCATACAAGAATTTTCAATAGTTTTCTCTCTCGATGATATCGAGTTCAATCTTATTCTCTTTGAGCATTCGATTATTTCATATAGCGAGTCATCATGGTATGGAAGATATTTAACTTATCATATCCATCGTAATAGTACGAGACAAAGCGTTATTAATTCTAATATATTATTGAGTAACATGTCACACAATCTTTTAAAAGGACATTATCACTTAGAATGTAATTTTTTTTCTTCAAAATAGAACTATCTTTCATGACAGTTAATATGAATTTATTTTCATAAGAAAATATGGATAGAGTAAATATTGAATTTAACAATAACGGAATAAAAATCTACAAAACTTACGTATTCTCATTTATAAAACAGCTAACGATCAACCAGCATAATTGAAGTTGAACACTCAAATTTTCGGACACAAAACAATCAATCTTCTTCATGTAAAATTCCTATGTAGCTTTATAAATCTAACTGTATTGCTTTCAATTTCAATTCACGTACGTGAATTCGTCTGATTTAAGACGAAGTCTTTGTATAAAAATGTAATAATGAATAGTAAAAGAAGTGATCCAAACATATATTATTTATTAGTTGGAATCATTTTTATTCTTCACATAAAACAATGATAGGAGTAAACCACGAAAAAAAAACTAATGTTAACCATTCTATATTTCAATATTGAACTGGACCGATGAAATAGTTGAATGATGATTGATTATTCCATTTGATTAATATTCTTAACTAGACACATATATGATTTTCTTTCCTTTTGAATAGATTCGATTCTTATTCAATTGAAAACCTTAATAGCTCGTTCGTTGGCAAGCAACTTGCTAACTATTGGTGACATCTACGAGAGGTTGTTTAATTTTCATAAATTTTGAGTCGAATATTAAAATCTAAATTGTTAAGACGATAAAGACAAGAAATTTTTATCGATGTCTATGAATAAAAACAGTTTAACTTGATGTTCGTAACTAGGTGATAAAGTGTCAGATGGTGAAAACGTCTTGGCAATACATGGTAAACATTTTCTGTCACTTTCAACGGTAAGTATTTATTATAGAAACATTAAAAAAGTCAGAAGTGTATGCGAGAAAGTTAATTATATGGTATCGATTCGTTTTTTTCGCTCATAATCAGCTTAATAATAAAAATTCTGAATATCGATTTGGATCAATGTAGCTAGAAGTTTGTTTCTTGTTTTTTTTAAGACTGAATAAATTTTTCCTAATTTAATAATATAATGAGCAACGAAAACGAACGTCATAGTAGTAGTCGAAGTGGAAGCGACACTTCTCCGCAAAGGTCTCCATATGAATTTACAAAGGCAGGTCTCATCGGTGATCAACGTGATACTATGCTTCAAAGTGAACTTCAAATTTTAGTATGTGAAATTTTGTTAATTAATCGAATATTAATGAAAAGATTGATTTTATTTAGCCAGAATTAGGTAAATCGCGTCGTCGTGGTCATAGATTACCTCCACAAAGTTTCACATACGGCATAACTATGCCACGACGTGATGGTGGTGTTGGCGAAGGTAAAATACTTACGATTTAGTATTCAAGAAAATATTTAAGTCATAGTTCGACAGAATTCGTCGAACTATGTATCTCTAAAAAGAAACGTTTCTGAATTAATTTTTTGTCTGAAAAAGTTTTAAACAGAATTCAATTTGAAATAATTAGTAAGAGCGTATAGAAAATGAAACAAACTAAAAGTATAAGGATCCCCTATAGGTCCTGTATATATAAATATGTGCTTGATTTAGTTGTTATATGATTGGAAAAAAGATTTATTATTTCGATCTAAAGAAAAGAGACTGAATAGTGTGAATTAGCTGGTATTTATATTTAGAACGAAAATCTTCTTTGAATAATACAATAAATATTTACAACACAAATTTCGGTTATCAAACATTATCTCACAGATATTTTCAATAGATTTCACATGTAATTCCTCTATGATATAAATGGAATGAAAGCAAAATATCGCTTTTAAATTCTGAGTAAATCATTCGACGTAAATACTCATATTGATTCATAATACAAATTTTGTGGTATTCCAGAAGAAAGAAAGTTTTTGATATTCAGTGTTATCAAACCTTGTTTTAGCATCTTTTATCTTTTCTTATTTCTTTTCCATGCAAATATTATTACAAAAACATTCCTTTCGGGTGACAGCTAAATAAATTTTTTTAGAAGTAACCCGATAAGCTGAATTTGTACACGACAAAAAAAACATTTGTTGTAATTTTGAATAGTCAACATCTTGCGTAAATGAAAAACAATGAATATTTTTGAATATTTAGCATTGTCTCATGGACCTGAAAAAGAACGTACTACTAATCCTGATTTTGAATTTGTACGTGATTATTCAGCGTTGAATAAAGCAGCCCTTGAAGCCGGCATGACATCAGCCAAAGATCAATCACGTTTTAGGTTATTATTCTTAAATTTATTTCGAATTTTTATGCTTTTCATTCGTAGAACTGTACATGATATTAAAAAGAAAGTTTTCATTCGCGATGTATCCCTTGCTAAGAAAACACATAAATTTCCCGATGATATGGTATTCGGTACACCAAATAGGTAACATATCGCGTTTTTTTTAAATCTATTTAAATCTATTGTTTCTAATAGACCGTCAACACCTATAGGAGAAGTTTTACAAAATCGTTTTCTTGATAATTGGCTTGATACTATGGAAAAAAAACAAGCTGCAATTAAAAAAGAACGAACTGATGCTGCAGTATTGAAAATTAATTGAATCTATTTATGCTTAGAATTTCTTTGATTTTCTAGAATGCTTTTAAAGGAAGTTACCATACGAAAGCATCACTGCTTCGTCAAGCTAAAATTCCTGTTGATCCAAAACCTTTATGGAAAATGCCGAAATTTGCTCAAGTAAATATTTTATTTTCGATTTATGTTCATCTAATTTTTGTTCATTTTTCAACGAAAATTTTCAGGGTGAAAATCAAGTTGACTCATTTCGAACTGAAGCAGAACGTCGTAAAGCCTTTAGTGCTAATACGTTTGATTCAATACCTCGTCAAGGTACATATCATTCAGGAATTTATAATGTTCCACGTACGACTGTCAAAACATAAATAAAAATATAATGATTAACTATTCGATTCCTCTTTTTTTTCTTTTATTGTGCATCATAGCTTTTTTTATTTAAACAAAAAAAGAAAACGAGTCTTATGAATGATGAACAGATGGAAATGTTTTTACTTGGCTAAAACATATCGATATATTCAAGACATACAAACATAGTGAAGTTTAACGACTAGAGAAATATTGTTTTGAGAAGAAAACATTGGTTTTTATTAATAAATTCGATGTAGATCATTTTGTTTTTCTGTATAAGCGTTATGCAATCCTGTTAGAAATTCTTCGTCATTCTATTTAAAAGAATAGAAAGAAGTTGTCGAACGTATATCAAAAACTAACAAAAGTAATTTACTTTAAGCATATCAATTAATAATTGTCGAAGAGTATCTTTCGACAAGCGATTCATAGATGAATTTTGACAGTGAAGACAGGATGCTACTGGATCAGTTTGTATTTGAGGAATGAAAACTATGTAAAGTAAAATATGATATCAAACAAATGATTCATCTTCAATCTACCAGGTGTTTGAGTTATCTGTAATGTTTGAAATTCAGCTGGTGTCATTAGACGACCATTATTATTATTCGAAAATGTATCAAACTAATAGTTGAATGATAAATTTTAAAAATAAAAATTTTCGTTAAAGGTAAAACTCACTCCATTGAAAAGATTCTGATCTGATGATGTTGTCCAATCATTTGCAGACGTAGTTCCAACACATGATGATATCGAGTGAGGAGCTGTTTGAATGGAATTCTAAATGAAGATTTCTTTTTAACTAGTTATTAGCGGCACAATAGACTCTCGATTGTTTTATTCACTTTTTGATACTAGTAAACGTCTTAGCGTAATGCATAGGACACTGAAGTGTGAAACGTAATATACGTGTATATGTTGCTATTCAAATGAAAATAATTTTGCTTTCTACAATTATTGTATTTTATACTTCTGAAAATTAATTACGAGTTAGTGACTTTGCGCTATGCGTAGAAAAGTCGAAAAATTTGTTTATTTATCTCTAATCTGAAAGACAAATTCATATAACTAATTATCTGTACATGCACCATATTTATTTTAGTAATAGTTCAACGCATAGGAATATACGAGATATCAGCCAGTCTAGTAGAAAACTCGGCATGCGCATGGTTTTCGACTAAAATTCAATATACTAGTCAACTTTTAATATGAACCGCAATAGTGATAGAGTTTCTACTAGAATGTTCTCTGGAGGATATTCTTCCGTATGTACCAACGTGTTTTAAACAAGTTTTCATTCGTATTATACACAACTTACTTTATTTTCTATCGGCACATGTTTAGACAGACTTTCAATTATATTATTATTATTATTATTGTTTTTTGAAACGACCATAGGTTTTGTTATTTCTAATGATGGTGGTTGTAATAATTTTTTTTCAAGTTCAGTTACACTTAAAGCCGGTTTTCCTAAAATTCCCAATGTTTTTTTTAATTCTTGTTCACGTTCATCATTATTTGCTACTGCTGCTGATGATGATGCATCTTGTGTAGAAAAAAGACGTAATAAAGCCGCTGGCATAGAGGCTATTGCATCCGTATTATTCACTTCTTGTTTTCGTTTCTAATGAATATTAAATACAAATTTAAGAAAAAAGAAAATTTATGAACATAAAAACAAACTGTTTCTTGAAATTTTTCTTGAGCATTAACCAATAATGAAAATATATCTGATCCAGCTTGATTTAATGTTGTAAATAAATTTTGATTATTGAAATTAATTGTTGATGGGTTTTGTTTTGATTGCTCAATTTCTTTTGCTTGGATTGTTAAACTGAAATCAAATCATAGAAGAAAATCTCAAATTATTCTTTTCAATCTATTATTTACCGTTTTAAACATTCAGTTACACGTGGACAATCATTTTTCGATATAAACCATATTCCATAAATATCTTGAAGAAAAACGAAATACATATTAAGAAGAAAACCTAAAGGAATCTTATTTTTTGAAATACCTCCGACATCAACTTTATATTGTAGGAATGCTTCGTAGTTAGGTGAATGTTTAAATTCCATAGATGGTTTAATTATCTGTACAAATGTTTCACGTGATACGGTACTTAATATAACAAAACCGTGATAAGGTTCACACGTTCTAAATGGCAAAGAGAAAAACAACGACAAATTCGGTCTAATATTTAACTATAAATATTTATTTACCTTTCATAAACAAATAGTGTTCCTTCAAGATCTTTGCGTTCCTGAAAATTAATTATAAATTAGATATTATAAAATAGAGATATGATTAGTTTTACCCATTCACGTTTTTCACCAATAAATTTATAAACACAAACACGTTGAGCCTGATCGATAATTTTCGTTATATATGGATCACGATTTTGTAATGCTTGTAAATTAATACGATTTAATTGATCTTCTTCATTGTTCGTTTCACTGGAAATATTTGTTGATCGATTTGTATTAGAAATTGTAGATGTTGATAATGAAATAAGAGTTGACATTGACATGATATCAAGGATCAAAAAAACGAATACAAGAATAACAATTGACTCTATTTAGATAATATGAATGAGCACGAGAATGGTAATCCAGTTATATATCTGGGTAAACTATGGATACATCTAACTTATTTATGATTGATAGGAGGAAATAATAGATTCCATGGATCTCTTTAGATTGCAATTATTGATGGAGCCTTGAAAGCTATTATTGTTTCTTAAGTAATAAGTTAGTTTTCTCTTCATAATTCTGTATTTATTTTAATGATATTAAATATGTTTCTATTCTATAATAATGAGAATCAAATCATTCGTTTTGTATGTTCATCGGAAATTTTAGTATATTATTGTAAAGAATCTATAAAATTTCAACCTTCTAATGAAAATAAATTGCGCAGAAAACAATATTGTCAATACCAGTCGAGTTTGTTTGTAGATACTTCAAATAATACAAATATACTCAACATAACAATGCATTTCTTCATGTTTATGATCATTTGAGGCGTCAAAGAACAACTTAACATATATTTGATCAGAAAAGTTGTTTACTTTTTATTTTCTTAGTTTTTTAGAACATCTAGTCAACCGACTATGATAAAAAATCGACGTCGATCATCATCATCTCAATCAGCAACATCATCATCATCTCGTAAGATGTCTAAGTCTTTAAATCTTCCATCATCATTAATATCGGACATATTTCGTATTCTACATAATCTTATAGTAGCTTTTTGTCGTCGTATTATATTTGCGCCACCAACTCTTAAAATACTGGTTTATTTTTTTCTTATTATAATTGGCCCTTTTCTAAAAGATTTTCATATGATATCGCATACATCACTTTCTTCACAAGCTAATGTTCCTAATAAGTATATAGCTAAAATAGGTTGGATATGGTCGATATTTTTATTAGTTCCATTTGTTTATTTAACAAGTTTAATATATACTCGTGGACATTATGGTTTAATAATTCGTCATTTAATTCGTCTACTAATAGCAACTACGATATGGTATATAATCACATTTTTATTTATTCGTATTGAAGCTCTAACAGGCATGTGTAAACCGAATGATAAACGTCAAATAACTAGACAATTTTGTCGTAGTAGTCGATATCAATGGCAAGAAGGACATACATTTTTTCTCCTTTATGCTCTTTTAGTAATTAATGAAGAAGTTAAATTATACGGTGAAAATTGGAAAAAACTTGAAGATGGAAATAGAAGTAATTCAGGAAATACAAATATTTCATTAGATTTGAATCAAAATCGTATGAAACTATTTTCTCTACCTATTGGAATACTCTATATTGCCTTAGCTCTATTAACTGTTCTCTGGGAATTTATGCTTCTATCAACAGTTATATATATTTATAATATTTTACATAAATTAATTGCGGCAAGTTTTGCTGTGTTCTTTTGGTTTATTACGTACCGTATATGGTATCGTCAGAATAATACATCAAACATTGCTCCTTGTGCACCTGGTGATGGTTTTATTAGTTTTTAAGAAAAAACAAAAATCATTACAATTTTTTGTATCCCTTTTTTTAAAATTTATTTGAGTTTAATTGTATATATATATACATCAAAGAAAAACAACAAAAAATAATATATATATATATATATATATATAAATATGAATGATTTGTTATTCAAGATTTCGTAAACGATGCAATGCAGGACGAGCGTTGATTCGTGATTCAGGTTCATGTTTCCAACAATCTTCAATGATGCTTGATACAGCAGATATTTTCTGAAAAAGAAGATGCATATATATATATATATATAGAGAGAGAGAGAGGGGAGGGAGAGAAGTCTAAAACCATTTTTCACGTGATGATTTGTATACAGAATTTCTCAAAAATTCAGGCGGAAAGTTTACGAGAATAAATCTCCAGTAATTCAAATCATTAATTATCCAATTTGTTTTTGTTTGGAATCATATTAAAGTATATTTTTTGCAATCTTATACGGCGAAGAACAGACGAAACCATCTAGAACGTTGTCTTTTTTATTTTTCAAATTGATTTCTTTCGTAGAACTGACTGTTCGTTTTAGTTTTTCCTCATTCAATTTATTCTACAAAAAGATAGGTAGTTTTTTAAGAAAGAGTTGGATCAATTCAGTATTTCTATTTGAACTATTTTACATTATCAAAAGAATGTAATCATGATAGCAAAAACAACATATGTTAACCCTAAAATGTTGTACGCAAACATAATGCACAAAGCAAATCGGAGGCAAAGACAGTTTACAGTAGATAATCAATTTTCACAAGAGAATAAATGCTAAATTTACGATGCCGTTGCTTTAGATAGAATGAAATTCATTTATCAGCCATTTCAAATCTTGCGGCACTGTTAAAGTGAATGTCTATGTCTAATTCATGTAGAATTAAAATTTTGAAAAATTCTGTACGCACATGTTTTTAAAGAAATCATTATAATCATTTCAATGTGTACTAGCTGAAAGTGATAGATTCTTTGATGGCCAAGTGTTAGCTCATTGATTTATTCGAGCAGTGAATATTTTTTTATCTCGAACATGATAAATAACTAAAAATTCTGTGTATTTTTCTTACCGAATGCATACTGTCTGTTCGATGAATAATTGGCCTTATTTTTTCGTTAACAACAATTCGATGAAGTGTATCAAGAATTTTATTTTCATTAATTTCGTTCATGCTGACATACTCTGTATATGGAAGTTGATATTCAAGAAGACCTAAAAATAAAGCACAATATTTTACTCGTTTTGGTTTGTTTAAAAACATGAATTCTATTTGTATTACATGGATAGTCTTGACATTGTGTAACAATTTCCCACATAACAAGTCCAACTGCATACATATCAACTTTACATAAAGCATCACTTGTATGTGTTATAGCAAGTTCAAGTAATTCTGGTGCCATATAACGATATGTACCAATTTGTATAAAATCATTTGGTGTTAAAACAGGCGGAAGAATTTTAGCTAAACCAAAATCACACAAGCATAAACTAAGATCGGGATTTGTTTTAACTAGAATATTTGAACTTTTTATATCACGATGAACAATAATTGGTTTGCGAATGCGTTTCGATGTTAAATAATCGGTTGGTGATAAATCTTCATAATGAAGATAATCAATTGCACCCAGAAGAGACACAAGGAATGAATAGCAAGTTGACCAAGAAAGTTTATTTGATCGAAGATAATTAGTGAGTGAACCAATATCATGATATTCAAGTATGATATATGGACATAGATCATGCCAACCATGACTGATAAACCTAGAAGAGTAAGCCGTAAGTTTGCAATTGAGTTACTGATTTTCATGTTTCATCCTTCTAAGCATCGAATATTTCTGATGGTATACTATCAAAAAATAAGTTTCGAGACTTGTGAACAAATGAAAAGAAACAATTTCATTAGTCATTTAGAACAAAATTGCAGTTGCTATTTTTGTACGGTGTATCACAACAGATTTACTCTAGCTCATACATAGAATTCAAGCTCATTAATAATTTATTCCATGGAACGATTCTGTAGAGAACATTCATATGAAAGCAATGCCCCATTTGTAGTACTTCTTTTTCGTTCACTGACGGGCGCTTTTAAATCTACTCAGACACTATTTAATTCTACTTACTTGACAATAGCAGTGTGATGAACCATTCTTAGAGTTTGTACTTCATTTTCAAATACATTTTTGTATTGTGGTGAATAATAAAGTTTAACAGCAACAAGTTTTTTCTCATGTGGTAAACTTTCTTTTCCTGTTGTCCATGCACGATATATAATACTACTTTTTCCATGACTAATAATTGATTGATAAGTAGGATTTGATGAAAGAAATTCATCGATTTCTGCGTTTGAAATATTCGTTGATGCAACTGACGTATTAGCTAGATATGATTGATCATCTTTTTCGTGTCTTTTCCTATAGATATTACATTTCAAAATTATAATGATGATAATAATACTGATAAAAATAAAAATAATTATAGTAAGTGTGATCATTAGTGGAAGAAACCAATTAAAGTATTCATATGGTTTCATTAATTTATGTTTCTGATAGAAGTTGTCATGTAAATTTTCAGCTGTTTTCCATTTTAATGTACAATTATTTGAATTACATCGACATAGTAGATGACTACCAGTTTTATCAACATCAAGAATACATTCGGTTGTATTAGAATATTTTTCTTCGAAATCATCAACTATTCCCAATTGACGAATAGAAATTAGATTTTCTATTGTTTCTAAATTTTTATTAAATGTATAAATTCCAAGACAGCGACGAGAATTTGATTGTGTTGTAATATAAGTGCACAATGAGACATTTCTATCACATGAATGTATTATATTAGTTTCATTATTGAAGAAATTATAGACCGGACAAACAATTGATTGAATATTGAGAGGAAATAAATAAAAACATATAATTAGAAAGATGTACATATTGGTCACTGGTCAATGAAGTAAAACTTGAAAAAAAAATATTGGCTATACAAAATTAGCTTTGTGCCATCCAATGACGAATCATTTATTAGACGAAGTATACTTCTGCCATCTTTGATTTATTTTAGTCGCACATTCTTTTCTTTTCGTACGTATATGTTTGTTATCATTCTTTTAATTGAGTTGAACATAAATAATATATACGTATGTAGAGAATGTGATTTAATTGTTTAATGTTCTTTTCATTTATTCTGTCCTATAATTAATCATTTAAATCAAAGCTACCCAACAAAACGCAAGGCCTGCTTTATGATTAAGGATAAATGTCAAGATAATAACTGGATACATAAAATGAATGTGATGAAAAGTTTTCATTAAAGAGAAAAAGCTGGCATTGCCATGTAAGAATTTTGAAATTCCTTCGTTAGCAAAAATAAACCTTTTCAAATAAAAATTATATTCAATTGGTAGGCTATACGTAGTGTACTGCGTGATTGATATTTTTATTCACGATCACGATCACGATCACGCGTGATTCACGCGTGATCGTGGTCGTGATCGTGAATTTAGTGATCATGTAGTGCCCTAATTCAGCTATAAAAGAAAAATATTTTATTGATTGGTCGTGTCATCTATATAATATATTCTATTGGGTATAGTTAAAGGCTTCGACTTGAAAAGAAAGAATATCAACAGCAAAGTTTCGTTTGCTTTCTTTATATTCATTCTATGAAAATACTTTGACGATGT